TTTTCATCAATGTCTTGTTTTATCAGTCCAATATATTTCTGGCTACAATGAAGACCAGGGGTAAAGAAGTTATGGTTTCCTTCATTCAAACGGACACACATTTTACTCTGAATTTGGTCTATGTTGCCCATCTTCTTTGAACCCACATCTGCTGTTCCTGAGTTTTCACTGCAATGCGCATCCCATGTAAGTTTGTTGACAGAGTCTCTAGTCATGGAGATGACACAGTGTTTCTGTGAGTGAGTTTTGACAGGCATCAAGATGACCCTCAACACCCAGGCCTCCTGATGGGGTAAGGATTTTACTTTCAACCCTGAGGAGAGACACCATAAGTTTATGCAGTCATCTGCGCCACCACTTATCAAAAGATCCAGTTCGTTAGAAAAATCACAGCAAAATACTGGCCCAGCATGCATTTTGAACTTGCATCTGAGTAGTTGATATTCATTTGAAAGGTTATTCACACCACTGTACACTACACTAGACTGTTTGTCCATCGCACTCAAGTCCCATGAAGTCAATATACCAACAAAATGACCACAAACCAGTAACTGCTTGGGTCTGAACTTGATATATGAGACAGCTCGTTCAACTGGGAAAGTCAGGATGGGGATGTTCAGGTCTAACTGCCAAATATTCACGTAGTCTTCTTCTGACACTGAAAAAAGTATGCAAATTAAAATGTTATCTCATAAATAATTGAGGGGGGACATGGCAATCTCTTGCTAAGATTTCTAAGAAATTAAACAGTTATATAAAATGTTTCAGAGATATACACTGAAATTATATGACTAAGGATTACACACATTTGTGTTTACATTTAAGAGTATCTACAATGTGGCCACTCAAGTTATGTGAATCAAATAAGTAATCAAACAACTGAGATCCCTGTTGAAAGAAAAATACCTGTGCACAAGTATCCATCCTGATAATCAACAGCCTTCACAGCTTTATTGCAGTTTTGGAGCTGCATAAATCGTTCAACAAAAGCTGTGCCATTCTTTAGAGATGTGAGTTGGCGTAGAGATGACACGTAGACTTCGTGCCAGTTTGTTCCCTGAGATAAAAGATCCATGTTGACCCCAAGCTGATGACACTTCTTTAGCCATAGCTGCCCATGATTCATCAGTACTCTGAAAAGTCATAATGACTTCTGTAACATAAAGTAAATTTACAGCTATATAGCGAAAGACACATTGAAATAGGGAAAGGGGGATGGAGAGGGAGAGGGAAGGGGGGGTAAGAGGAAAAGGAAGAGTAGAGGGAAAGAGAATTGAAAAGGGAAAGGAGAGATGAAGAAGCAAGTGGAGAAGAGAAAAAGAGGAGGAGGGAAAGGAGAAATAAAGAAGCAGGGGAAGAAGAGAGAAACAGGGACAGGAAGAGGGGGGAGGAAGTAAGGAAGAGAGAAAGAAGGGGATTAAGAGAAGAGAGGAAGATGGGGAGGAAGCATGGAAAATGGGGGAATAGCAAGAGAGGATGAGGGGTGAAAAGTAGTGAGGAGAAGGTAGAATGAGGGGCGTAGGGAAAAAATGAGAGAATGAGGGTGAGGGGTAAAAGTGGGAATGAAGGAAGGAGAGAAACTACGAAGAGAATTCAATGTGGTGGTTATACATAATGAAATAGGATTACCAGTTTAAATTCAATGTTTTTATAATACCTGTTCCATCCCTGGCATACTTGACAAGCAGTGAGGAGACTTGGACCATCCAAATATTGCAGAACCATAACCTGCAGTTCGGTAGGCAAAAGCTCCAACAAGTCTGGGGTATCCTGCCAGGCTAGTGTAACCGCTAGGCGCCATTTCACATAACTAGAAATCATAGTAGTAAATCTTAGTAAAAGATAATAAAAGTCTATAAAACAATCTTTCAGTATTTGTAATTATGAGCAAAATATTACATAACATACATAATAGCTTCATCAACAAAATCACAGTGAATCTTTTCTATCTTGATTAACCTTTAACATTATGGTATTAGCAACCATATGTAGTTATAAGGGGTTTAAAGGGGATATCTTACCCTGAGGCTTTGGAGACAGCAGGAAGCAGGAGAGACAGTTGCTTCTCAGGTGATAATGGTGTCACTAGAGCTGACAGTACCTTTTGTTGCTCTGCCACCTCCAGGTGTACCAACTCCGATATCAGTTTATCCATTGATCCCACGTTGCTCTCTTAATAATAATAACTTTTAAGAATAGGTAATGATAATTCTTGAGAATGTAACCACTAATATAATTACTTTTTTTATTTTAGCTTCAGTATTAGGTAAAACAATGTGATGGCGCAAATACTACTCAGCTTAAGTATATATTCTCCATTCTGATGCAAATAGAGATTATTTCCTGTTATGTATCATGTGGTATTTCACAACAGAACCGGCTTTGTGCAAGATACTTTACAAAATCAACACCATGACTTCCAAAAGAAATCACATTAAAAAAAATATATAAGTTTTCAGATACTCCCTCTCCCCAAAACCTCCTCTCTTTTGTGATAATCAATACATCTCCAAAATAATACGTGGCTTGAATATGATGGTGTCGAGAATCCTTTACCTGTTACGATGTCACTCCGTCACGCTCGATAATTCCCACTTAAAGTTATTTCCAACCCTTCATTCAGCATTCTTTTAAACGTTGAATGTTTTGCATGGTTGCTTTCACTCGAGTCGGTACCCTCATGACATGTAGCTTGCGTAAATCGTGCAAATTGAGAAGAAATTTCAGTGAAAAGGATCTTTCTGTCAAAAAAGGTAAATATTTATACCCATCATCCCTAATCTTATAATATTATCATCGAATACAATAAAGGAATAATAAATGTTAACTTTCCCAGTACATTATATATAAAAATACACACCAACATTTTTACACATCAACAAAAATAATAGAAAGAAAATAAACAATTATACTTATGGTCCTTGTTATTGAGAGTCGTGATCTGGAACATTTTTCGAAGAAATCTTTACCTTTACAATTATATGACTGAGTTACCCATATAATTAGTGCAACATATGAAGCGTCAGATATTAAGAAGAAGAAGAGAATAGAGATAGGCTATCAAAAAAGGCAGAATAAAGGTACGTGACTTCAGCCATGCATCAATACTCAGAAGTTGTTAATTACATCATCATGCCCACAGGTGTTATGGGTCCATATAAGACATTTTATTTTTAAGAGGGTAATGTGTGTTTAGTGTTACTGGTGAGAGTTGCAATCATTTTGATACAAGTGAGGTGGCAATCAGCAGATATAACAAATCAAAATAAATCCTAAGAGGATATGACAGACAATAGTATTGAAAACCAAAACGCCCTTTAAAAGCCGCTGCAGATATAATCCAAATATTCACCTGTATTGTATTCAAAGTAACAATTTCTTGTGTTCTGTATTGGATTTGGACACACTTTGTGCTCTCAAGATTACTTATGTTGCACTTGTCATTATATTTAGATTTATCTTGTAGGGAGCAAAAGAGTAAATTTCCCCCCATCTGTTTTCCCTTTTCCTTTCTGGTATGTAATTTAGATAGGTTTCTTTCAGGGTTTAGAATAACTGTTATTTTTTATTTGTGTTAAATACACTGAAGATAAGTTTCATAGATTTATTCACTGTCATTTACATAAATTATTTGCCCTATGGTTGGTTGAAACTTAACCATTACCATATCTTTTATAAACAAAAAATGTATAGTTTATATTGTTAAACTTACATTAAGGTCATAAGTTGCAGATTAACTAATTAAATCTATTTTTTTTCTTTATTGTTTATTCTCTTACTCTGATATTTTCAATATAAAATTTTGTGTTCCAATTCAAAGCAGAAGAAAAAAAAAAAAGGCTAAGAAACATAAAGCATCTCTCATCTTCTCATGTTATGAAGGAATAACTCAGCTAGTTGTTAATTCAAAAAAACATAATAAATATAAAATACATAAATAAAATATAAAATACTGAAACATCATTATTTTTTTTTATTACAGGTGGTACTTCCTACTATTCTTGATTCAACACAATGACAGTGACAGTACTTGGAGGCGGCATCAGTGGATTGGCAGCCGCTCATTACCTACGGACCATCAACCCTTCCTCTAGGATTGTAGTTCTGGAAGCTTCGCATAGGTTGGGCGGCTGGATTGATTCTACCAAGCACAATGATGGTGTTGTGTATGAAGGAGGACCAAGGACACTTAGGTTAGTTGCAGACTTTTTGAGAAAGTACTTTTCTGCTCTCAATGACCATGAATTTGTATTGAAACTAAGTTTTTTTTTATTATTATTAGTAGTAGTAGTAGTATTACAGATGGTCCCCTACTTAAGAACATTCTACTTATGAACATTCCATACATACAAACAAAATTTTGTAAGTACTAAAGTCCAAAAAATTGTTTGAAAGATGCTAGCAAACTTCGAATTTCCCGGGCAAGAATATAGTTCAAGAGTCTGGTACTGTATAAGGTATGTCGTACTTATTGGGAATTATTTACAGGTATTCATAATATAAACAAAACTTTAAAACAATGGGAAAAAAGGTAATGGAGACCCGACTTTCGACATACAAACAAATCAACTTACAAACAGCCTCTCGGTCCCCATTATGTTCTTAAATTGGGGACTTACTGTAGTATTAGTAAGGATTCCATACAGAATGGATAACTCTTTCTTTGGTTGCATTATCGAATTAAGGAATGAAAATTGACACTAATCCGTATTTACCTAACGTGGAATAGTAGTAGATGTCTTCAGAATATAACTAATTAAACTTCTTAAACACACACAGAGTGGTTGGTAATGCAGGAGCCAACACTTTAGCCTTAGCAGAAAGTCTTGGCCTAAGAGATAAGGTCCGCAGTGTCCGTTATGGGGAGCCATCTGCCAAGAACAGGATGATTAAAGTGAGTAGATGGTGTTCATCTTTTCTAGGGTTAAAGGGATTTGTTGTAATCTTTTGGAAAGGATTAAGGATTCTGTGATATGATCTGAATTTTTAAAGTAACACCTTAAAGTATTTGTTTGTTTTTATACATAGGGAAAATGAACAAGGGTTCAGTGCATGTAAGTGTTGCATAAGATTCTTTCCCTTATTTCTTACAGATCAAGTAATTTATTTTAATTTCAGGTCAATGGGTCATTACACAAACTACCAAACAGCCTGAAGACAGCACTAACAAAGATTCCTCCATTCTCAAAGCCATTAGCCCTAAGTGCAATTGGTGATTTGCGAGCAAAAAAAGTTCTTTCAGATGATGAAAGTCTCTTCAGCTTTGTCAACAGGCGTTTTGGCTCAGATGTTGCAAGATATGCAATTGATCCTTTAGCAAGGGGTGTCTTTGCTGGTAATGCTCGAGACCTTAGTGTCAAAGCACTTGCCAAAAGAATGCACGAAGTTGAACAGAAGCATGGCTCTGTGCTAAAGGGCTTCTTTAAAGAGAGGAAGAATGCAGAAAAACCAGACCCTGAGCTGGCAAAGTGTGACCTAGTCCAGCAAGCAAGAAAAGAAAAATGGGCTGTTTGGTCTCTTCAGGATGGCTTAGAGACATTAGTGAAGACCCTTGCAAAGAGTCTTGAACAGGATGGTGTTGAGATTAGAAGGAGCACTCCAGTGTTAGGTATTCAGGGTAGTCAGGGGCATCTTGTTGTGCAGACAAATGGTGAAGAAATACATAGTGAGAGGGTTATATCTTGTCTTCCTGCAAATCATTTAAGCCAAGTGGTGAGTGATCTTGATACGGACTTAAGCATTGTACTAGGTAGGATACCATTTGTTACAGTAGCTGTTGTAACGCTTGAATATACTGGGGACAGACTAAATGAACAAGCATTTGGGTATCTTGTGCCTTCCACAGAACCCAGTAAGGTTCTTGGCGTAATTTTTGACACATGCACATTCTCACAAGGTGACAGAACCATATTAACTGTAATGATGGGAGGATATTGGTTCAAGCAGTATTTCGGAGAGAGCCCAACACCAGAAAGCTTCTTGGATGTTGCCCTTAAAGAAGTGGAATCAGTGCTTAAGATAAAAGAAGCACCAGTGCGACATAGTGTCAACATTCTAAAGGACTGTATACCACAATACATTGTAGGACATTCTGAGATGGTCATCAATGCAAGGAAATTGATTGGACACTCAAAAATCCCACTGGTATTGGCAGGGAATTCATACGATGGTGTAGGAGTTAATGATGCCATAATGAGTGCAAAAAAGGCTGTATTACAGTAGAAAGAAACAAATATAGATAAAAAATAAGCTTTGGTGCTTTTCATTTTCTTTTTTGATACTGTGCTTTAATTAATATTAGGACATTCTTCTGTTCCTAAATTTACACCTGTATCCATAATGACACAGGACTGCTCATATAAACATATAATAAGAATAAAAAGAGTGTTTTTTATTTGTTAATTTACAGTTATGATTTCATGAAAATTTGACAACAAAGGAATTAATGAAATTCATATAATTTTCCCAAAATATAAACAATTTAATACACTTTGAAGTAACATTTAAAGATCCATCATTTATTATTTTTAAGCTGAAAAATTCTGCCTAAAATTTAATTATTAGCCACTGAATATAGTTTTTCTAGTATCAGGACTGCTTGATCTAATTGTTATGTTAAACAACTTGCATAACTATAAGTGAATGCCTCTGAATTTTTTTTTTTTTAGATAAAGGTAATTTCACATCCCACTTACATTAAATACTATACACAAACCTTTAACATTATTTCAACTTGTGTTTGAGAAATCCCTTGATCATTATTTATAATCTATTAGGTTTTTGCTTATTTATCATGAGAACTGCAGTGTTATATACATATTATATTTACATGTTTACATTTTTCCCTATTACAAACCTATGTCAGATTTTTTTCATGAAGTCATCTTGTAATGTTCTATTTACTTGTCTATCTGTATATATACATACATGCAGTATATATTTATATTTTTCTTGTATATTTGAAAGCAATAAAATGTATGATATTTGATTATAAAGTGTACTTTTCTATATCACCCAGAAATGTTAGTCAATATAAGTATATACTAAAATTATAATTTTTATTACAGAATATACATATTCCTTTATAACTTCATAAAACATTATGCTATTACTTTATAAATGAATGCAACAGATGATATAAAGACATGTCACATTAGACAGTGATAGCTCTTCTTATAACGTCTTCAATCTAACTAAAGATGTGAATAGTAAATCTAAGTAAATCTGTTATCTATGGAATGTATATGTGGTGTAAATAGAGAGACCTCTGAGGTTTATTAAACGGTCAAAACATGATGTGGACTTGCAGATGGTTGGTGCCACCTGTCACTGATTTATTGTAAGTACATTTATGGATAGTTTTAAATGGATACGACATAATTTAGTGGTCTTTAAACCCTTGGATAAATGAGTAATAAGTGTAGAATGAATTCTTTGGGTAAGGGCCATGACAAGTAAATGTGCCTACTTTTTAGGGGGTGGGTACACTGTCTGCATAACACTGAGGTGAATCTGTTAATATCCATGGATTGATGAATATGTTTCCGATTTCAAAATAGTACAAACAAAAATGTAACTGTCCATAAGGTTATCAATACTTATGGAACTATACATCTTTACATCATTTCAACCTCCTAAAAATATAACAAAGAAAATAGACAACCGTAGCTATTACCTCGTCATTGTATAAGACATAATATCAAAATAAATGCAAACAATAATCAACCTGTTATTTTCAGGAATAATTTAAAGTTACCATCTGTGTACTGTCCGAGTAGCTTACATCATTATCAGTTAAGCTAATCACTATCACAAAAAATCCCATCACAGAAAGAAAAAGTAAGAAACAAAAAACGGACAAGGGTAATGTATACAAGATATGAGGGCGAACATATAACTTTTTGAAGCATAAGATGCAAATAATGGACTTCAATGTTATATCCTTATGAGGCAATTTTAGTAGCCTGAAGTGGAAGAGTATTGAAAGTTATTGCTTGTAAGGATTATTTTCCTTCATGAAATTTTTAAGCAGACTAAGGCATACTAACTGCTTCCAGTACAGAAGCTTACACCCTGATTTCCTCAGATGTAAGTCATAATCATATGTCACATGAGAACCATACAGTTAACATATTTATTTATGGAGAAATATCATGGAAAAATACTACAGGGAGATTAAGCATTCTGTAATTTAGTAGGGGTATGTTGTCCAGTACTTGGTATCTGAACTTGATAAAACACTCCTGATCCCAATAAAAGCCATACCAACCAAAAGGAACTGTTTAGAGGAACTGCATAAATACTATTCAGACAATGAAGAGGTGACAAATATATGACAAAGTCTTAGATCAGCTATGAGTAGAAATATGGACTCCTAAATGTACTAAAATATACTGCATTTCTTATAAATATCACTTCATTAAGTAACAATAAAATGGTTTATGTTTTTTTCCCACACAGATTACTTTCCCTTTCATGAGATCAAACAACCACAGTATATTAACACATGGTATGGAATATAGATTTTTCAGATAAACAAAACTGGTATCACATCAACTGCATACACCACCATTATTCTTACAACCTCTGATCTTGAAAAAATAACAAAGCCCTCAGATTAAGTGTGATACTTAATAAAAGTGAAACCATATTATACAAGTAAAAAAAGAAATAATAACATTTTGTATTGATCTATGTAAAAAATTCAGGTCAGGTTGATAAAGCACGTGCTTTCAAATGACATACCAACTTTTTAAATCACAACCATTTGTTTTTAAATTACAATTATAGTAATCTAAGAAACTGCTTCACACTATACAACTGTCAGATGACAGCACCTGAGCATATGACACCAACAAAGTTAATCTTCAAAAACTTCCATTTTGAAAATCAAAAAAGACAGATGGGAAACAAGAAAAATACATGCATACATACTGTTCCCTGGGATATGGTTTTCACATCATAGATATATAAATAGGCTTATTAGGTCAACTTTGGTATTCAAAATATTAACCCAATGCCGCCGGGGAAAATAAACAAAAAATGGGGAAAATGCTATGCCCACTTTCAATGTTTTTCGTAAAATGTCTGCTGATAGATGGCTCTGCTAGCGCCTGATTTGAAATGGCGGGAAAAACGTATTTTTCACTAGTGCTATGAAAATCAATGGTGTTATTTTTATCATAAACATTATAATTTTTATAATGTTTTTTAACATTAGTAACAGCAAAATAAGATAACGTAAAATATTTTGTAAATCAAAGAAACGGGTAAACGGGCGAGACAGGCAGTACTCGTAGTTGGCTCATTAGTGATTTAGTACAAGTGTTGCCATCTATGCGTAAAAACAATCAATCAAGTACTCACGGTGGGCATAGCACATACGTACACGTCATACCTGGCACCATTGGGTAAAAAAGAAAAAAAGAAAAAAAAAAAAAACAAATCATGATCCATTAACCCTTTGATAATGGAAGGGCATGTGAACAAGGCATATATATGTGCCAATATGCCCCATCCACTGTGAATTTTATTGGCTAGTTTTGTTTACACTTAACTAGCATTAAAAAGTGCTTGGTTACCAAAAAATATTATTTTTTCTATTAGTACAACTTATAACATAATAATGATGATGCCAATAATAAATTTGAAGAATGATGTCAATAATAATAATAATAATAGTTTTTTTTTTCAATATATCAAAGAATGGGGTAAAAAGGTAAGATCAGGCAGGCCTAGTAATTGACTATTTGGTGACTAAGCACTTGAGGAGCCATCCATGAGTAAAAAAAAACTGACAAAACAAAACTAGTTGTCAATGTATCTACTGACACCAATGGATTAATTCTAAATTGTAAAAGTTCTGACTAGCAACAATGTGGCCTGGTTAGTAAATACAATAATATACTATTGGTCCCACTAAACATTACTAGTTCTGTGATCTAAGAAATTTACTAAAATGAGTTTAAAATACAAATTTTATCATCACTGTCAGTACCATAGCAACACTATCATATAATACTACTGAGTAAAGGTGGTCAAACACTCCTGCACTAATTCTGTGAATCTCATATACCTAATGCTAGTTTTTCATCAAGATGTTAAGGCACCATTAATTAATCCCTATATATATGAAGAACCATATACTGTCACTGTTTGTCACTGTTTTTTATACCTGCTTCTAAACCATGTATATCCCAATTATTAAAATCAATTACGTATAAATAAAGTTTCCAGTGAATTACATTATTGCAAAATGAAATTCAGAAATTCAAAATTAGAAATAATCCAGATACAAAGTGCTAAAATGTGGAAAACTTCAGTAATTATTCACAGCTACTTTTAAATTTCTATTAGTCTTCTAATAACATACAGATACCATATCAAGTGAATTTGGTATCAATCCATTCTGGATGTATATTGAAGACAGTTTGTGGTTTAAATCATATTTATCAAAGGACAGTAGAGATGTAAACTGTACCTCTGCATTTAAAGCTAGTCTTACAAAACTGGCTGAATACTATTATTCATTGGGAATGCAGATGCACAGCAAACAATGACTGAATCACAGAAACAGCCACTCAAGCATAGTAAACCCATCATTTGGCGAGTGGTTTGGGTGTTATGTGATAACATTATTAAACTTTAAAGATGATTTTTACAAAGCTTACCCAGCTATAACACCTGGACTTGTATCAAGTCTGTCTGTCGTATCAAAACATTAACAAAATCATGCAACAATCTCAGAAGGCACTTATTTTCATGAGGATTGATTTATCATTTAAAGTGGCATAATTTCATGAGTTTCAATATGTTATACATATATCAAATAAAGAAAAAAAAGAGCAAGAAAATACTAGTGACCATTTAACAATAAATCCATAAAGATCTTTGGGGGGTAATTATACAAAAAATTATCAGGCCTAATTCAGCAGGAGTTGATCAGATGACCGACGACACCTGCGCGAGGCTATCACAATACCTCCAATGAGGAACATAAGCACTGGGATGCCAACCCCTAAGCTAATGACGATAATTACCATGGTTGAAAATGTCTCTATGGGAGGGGAACCTTGCCCCATAGCCACAGTCCTGTAATAAAAAAAAGTCAAGGTGTTTTAATTCATTTCTACCGTATGGCAATTAAGAAGAAATCAACGTAGGATAAAACAAAACATAATCTTCCATGCAATATGTTTCAAAGACTCTATATCCAAATGAAAAATGGAAATGAAGTAAAATCACTTGTCTTGTGTCTCTTTCACGAGTGTTTGATACAAAGAACTGGAAGATAGAAGTTTTTCAAGATTCATGGCCTATAGTATCAGCACACCATATTTTTCCAATAGTACTTACCATGTTGTGTAGTTATTGCCAGTGTAGAAGTTGTCTTTTGGCTGACCGAATGCTACTGTTGTTGTGGCTGTGACTCTTGTTAACAGGTCCTCTCCAAGCAGTGCATATGCCAAAGAGGACTTTGCAAGTGTAATGTTATCAAGAAGTGGAAAAGTCTCATTGATATTGGGAAAGGTGGAAAAATTGATGTCACGATCACTGGTGAGGTAGCTAACAGGCCGCCACTGAAGGTAACCACCCTGACTTCCTGCCCGAGATAAGGGTGTGGTGATCTCATCCAACTGCCAAGAAAAAAAACAAAACATTTTAATGTTCATATCTTGATTATCAATGATTAATGTATGTTCAGCAACTACTAACTTAAAGACAGAGAATTCTTACTTGTATCAATATAACATAGTCCCTAAACAAAACACCACTACATGCAAGAATAAAAAATCTCTTTAAACTCACGTGAAAAACTCCAGGAGTATTTTCGTCATCAAGTGACTTTTGTTTTGAAATTTGTATTTTCTTTCCATCTGCTTTCTCTGTACTAAACAATAAGAAATCAAAGGCCCAGCGAGGTTTTGCAAAACCACTCATTGGATAATAGTCTGGCTTCTTCCCAAGGGCTCTGAAAGATTTATTAATTCATAATAAAAACCATGCATGAAAAAGAGATTTCTGACAGAAAATCATTTAAAAAATCAGACATTTTAATGCTGTAAATGTAAGAATATTTTTTTCTATATAAAGAGTCATTATCCATTCAGGTAGAAAAAAAAATCTTTTAAAATACTTATGGCAGGAAAAATCCAAAATAAATATAAAAAGATCAAACAAAAACCTAATGAAAATTGAACTCACATTTCTTCTGTTGAGTTCAAATTCAGAAAGAGGTGATCCAGCACAATATCAAATTGGGCCGAGTCAGGTGTTCTTATGAGGTGTGGTAACACTGTGCTTCTACCATCCACACCATAAGCTGCCATCTAATGGGATGGAAAAATATTCATGGGAATTATTTTGTCTTCAGTAAATAAAGTGGGTACATCTTGAATGACACACATAGGATCAACCTACATATTCTATAGGTCACCACTTCCCATTATAGTTGGGTCCGAATCACTTACAATATATCATACAACCATGTTTTCACATACAAGTAATCATAGCAGTGAGCATGATCTCTGTTAGTATATTCAGAACAGTAACAAAGAAGGTAATTCCAACAGTATGAGAAGGAGACAGTCTGTTATCCTACAAGATGTACAGAGTTCTTACTTTTAAAAAATTACTTCCTGTACCATGGCTTCCCTGTATCCCAAAAATACTAGCATAAATGACATCAAGAAATCTGGCACTGGGAGGGGCAATGAGGAGTGTTACAAAGCCCCTGTCTCTGCATTATTCTGATTCTTTCAAAATAAAATATGGCAGCTGACAGCCAATGATAGCTGACAATAAGAAATTCAAAGGCCCAGCGAGGTTTTGCAAAACCACTCATTGGATAATATTTCTATATAAGAGTCATTATCTTAGGTAGAAAAATTTAATACTTATGGCAGGAAAAATCCAAAATAAATATAAAAAGATCACACAAAAACCTAATTAAAATTGAACTCACATTTCCTCTGTTGAGTTCAAATTCAGAAAGAGGTGATCCAGCACAATATCAAATTGGGCCGAGTCAGGTGTTCTTATGAGGTGTGGTAACACCGTGCTTCTACCATCCACACCATAAGCTGCCATCTAATGGGATGGAAAAATATTCATGGGAATTATTTTATCTTCAGAAAATAAAGTGGGTACATCTTGAATGACACACATAGGATCAACATATTCTATAGGTCACCACTTCCCATTATAGTTGGGTCCGAATCACTTACAATATATTATACAACCATGTTTTCACATACAAGTAATCATAGCAATGAGCATGATCTCTGTTAGTATATTCAGAGCAGTAACAAAGAAAGTAAGTCCAACAGTGTGAGAAGGAGACAGAGTCTGTTATCCTACAAGATGTACTGAGTTCTTACCATAAAAAACAAATTTCTGTTCCATGGCTTCCCTGTATCCCAAAAATACTAGCATAAATGGCATCTAGAAATCTGGCACTTGGAGGGGCAATGAGGAGTGTTACAAAGCCCCTGTCTCTGCATTATTCTGATTCTTTCAAAATAAAATATGGCAGCTGACAGCCAATGATAGCTGACAATAAGAACAGTTCATTGAATCATCACAAGTTGTTCATTTAGTGGTATTCATGGTGTATCCATGTCTTTTTGCTTTATATGCCATATGTTTTACATAGAATGAATAAAAAATATTAGTTTTATAGAATAATGACCTCCTACATCTAGGTACTAACTCCTGATGCAATAGGCATAACATCTAGATCAATTGTCTAGTTGGAAAACATCGAGTTGTATACATGGGTTGATCCAGATATTGGGAAGGATGGGGCAAAAACATGTGTTTCAGACAATAATGTGTCTTGAGTTATCTGGTGACCAATGACAGTCAATGCATGTCACTATATGCTTGAATATTGAATAATGCAAAGCTAAATGACTTTAATATCGATACAAAGTTTCTAACATCTAGATTTATTTATGATTCTAGACTGAGAAAAGTATGCATATTTATTGTACATTCTGGGTATCCATTGCTGGGAATATTTTGTGTATACTAAATGCTCCATGAATTATACTGTCTCTTATCTTTAGTCCTTATCACTATGAAATGTTTGAATGAGAAAAAAAAATAAATCAAATTCCAAGACAGAGGTAACTTCCAATGATAGAAGCATGAGCAATACACATAATATAGTGTTGATTATCTGTAGTGCATCTTATCTTTGCAGCTAGTATTGGTTAGTAGTTGATATAAACAGTATTAATAACAAACCTGAATACTGATGTGAGTGTCATTGGGCAAAGGGTCTCCCCTGAACTTTGAAGTCTTGAAAATCACTGCTGCCTCACGAGTTGAATCGTTGAAGGTTTCTTGCACCTCCCACTCAAACTCTGACATAGAAACAACTTGCCGATCTGCAGCAGGGATGCCGTCCAGTTTGCCTGTATCATTGACGTCATTGAAGAGTATCAACTGAAATTAAAAAGTTTGATTAGGTCATCTTTACATGTACCAGTGGCTGAATGCAAAATCTACAAATTTGCAGTTCAAGTAATAATCATGATCAACCTGCTAATTATCAAATTATGATTATCCCAAACCTGATAAAAAATAATTGAGAATAGTTTGTAATGTCAATGTGCAATATGCATTATGAATTCTGTCAATCTTAGTCTCAATTTTGATGTTCAGGGTCAGCCTCATTCTCCCTAAAATTAAAAAACACTCACATTGGGTATAGCAAATCCAAAGACGTAACTTGGTGGAGAATCAAACTGAATCGACTTCTCTTCCCCTGCCTCCAGTTTCTCCCAGTTGACTTTCAGCTCCGAGGACAAATCTGTTGTGGCAAAGAGGAAGGTAGGGGCGGCATGCATACCCCAGATGTGGTGCATTGTGTCATTCTTCCCGTCGGCTTTAATGTGGACTACCCAAGGCTCTGTGCATGATGTTGTGCAGCCTGGGTTGATGATAGGAGGGGAAACCTGGAAATAAATGGATAGGATTGAGTTGGCTGAGCCATGTCCTAAAGAGAAGAATTAATAGAGAGATGGAGGAAGGTAGAAACAAAAGAGAATGGAGACAAGAGACTTTTATTTTCTAAATCTTGGCCATGAAATTTGACAGAATCAAATATTCAAAATGGGCATATAAATTAATTTGTAATGAATGATGAAAACACAATATTTCAGTATTCAGTCTTAGGAGACAGAGGACAAAACAGAATCTAATCTTTCAGAAAAAAAAATCTGTCATTTATAAACTCTAATATCAAAGGCATTAGAAAATCATGCATGGCTATAAGGTTCCCTTTGAAAACACCTGAAACATGTGGGTATTTTCATATTAGTTTCTTAAGTCTTTTTTGGCTTATATCAGCTGATGTTCCTCCAACTGGCTGAGTGAGGAGAAGGGGATAGAAGGGAAGGGAAGGGAAGGGAAGGGAAGGGAAGGGAAGGGAAGGGAAGGGAAGGGAAGGGAAGGGAAGGGAAGGGAAGGGAAGGGAAGGGAAGGGAAGGGAAGGGAAGGGAAGGGAAGGGAAGGGAAGGGAAGGGAAGGGAAGGGAAGGGAAGGGAAGGGAAGGGAAGGGAAGGGAAGGGAAGGGAAGGGAAGGGAAGGGAAGGGAAGGGAAGGGAAGGGAAGGGAGAGGGGAGGGGAGGGGGGAGGGGAGGAGGAGGAGGGAGAGAGGGAGAGAGGGAGAGAGGGAGGAGGAGAGGGAGAGAGGGAGGGAGGGAGGGAGGGAGGGAGGGAGGGAGGGAGGGAGGGAGGGAGGGAGGGAGGGAGGGAGGGAGGGAGGGAGGGAGGAGAGAGAGAGAGAGAGAGAGAGAGAGAGAGAGAGAGAGAGAGAGAGAGAGAGAGAGAGAGAGAGAGAGAGAGAGAGAGAGAGAGAGAGAGAGAGAGAGAGAGAAGGGGCAAGAAAGAATTACTGGCATACTTGAGACAATATGTATCATTCAATCATTACTACCTAGAGCACTGGTATGCCTGAGCACACACACTGCCATGACAGACAAAAATCTGGGAATACACACGCAGCATAAAAGACACAAAATGATACAGATAACGATACGGACACATTTTTTTTTCTTCTTTTTATTTCATCACAGTAATAACTCCTGTACGCATTCTCTCACTCCTTTTCCCATACCCTCACCAACCATTCACAGACTCCAAAGAAACACTCACATTTCTTGACGAACTCGCAGCCACCAAGGAGACCAAACACGAGGAAATAACGAGAAAACCTTTCCCTAAGAGAGACATTTTCGCCCTCTCTGTCTTGTGATTCGAGAGATACTGTTGTGGAGAGGAGGACGTTCGCGTAAGTGCGGGCTGCGGATTCACCCGGATTGCTTGACTGACAAGAGGACAGCTGTTTTGACTAAACTAATTACACGCTTATCTGTTTGATAAGATTGGCTGATTAAAGTCTGAGGTCGAGTGTCGATAATAATGCCACTAATATTTTCATATCACATGATGCTTGTAAACAGATGGGAAAGAAGGAGAGTGAGGTGTATATATATATATATATATATATATATATATATATATATATATATATATATATATATATACATACACACACACATACACACATACACACACACACACACACACACACACACACACACACACACACACACACACACACACACACACACACACACACACACACACACACCACACACACACACACGCACACACGCACACACGCACACACGCACACACGCACACACGCACGCACGCACGCACGCACGCACGCACGCACGCACACACGCACACGCACACGCACACGCACACGCACACGCACACGCACACGCACACGCACACGCACACGCACACGCACACACACACGCATACACACACATGTGTGTGTGTGTGTGTGTGTGTGTGTGTGTGTGTGTGTGGCTTCTAATTAAACCAAGTAGGGCAAACGGTTACAGGAGGACAAAAGAAGTTTTCATGTAAAGGAATCAGTAATTGATTGCTCGATAACAAACAACGATCAAAGAAAAGCGAGTGATATGATTCTCTGCACGAAATGGCATCATATCCAGTTATTCCCCGAATGTCAACACTCGTCTTGAAGGGCTTTGTGTTGAATAAATTTCGACTTGGGACGTGATCCTCTTGAAAAAACGAATCATGAACTGACTTCAACAAAAGGATTGAGAACTTCCTTGAGAGAAATGACATTAGTTCCGCCAAGTCAGATGGGATGTAAAGTGCGGTTTGATTAATTCATTTGGAAATATGTAAATCAGCGACGACGCAATATTTCACTTGGGAGAGAGAGTTTTGCTCGTTTTCCCTTTGGATACTTAACGTAAGGTATGTGATTATAAGTACTCAAATTATGCATATAAGAGTATATGGAAATAGCCAGGATTCTGCATACGCCGGGGGTGTGGGGATGACTAATTAATAAAAAATCTGAAGCATGAAATTAGAGAAAGATCTACTGCAATACATATTTACTTTGCACCTGTTCACTAACGTTCCATTTCTCATTACCCAAATGTACTGTACTAATTATAGATTTCATTCTATGCACATTTATTTTTTCGCTGAACTCAGATCTTTGTTTTTTTCTGTTCTTTATTTTTGTTAACATCAATGAAAGTAATGGATCCTTATATTCCTTTTCATGCATTTTTTTACGGTGTCATACTTCATGGGATTCTGTTTTGATGCAGAAATATCATTTATGTGTTCCATGTAAACAGGGGGGCTTGACTTTTATTTTCACTTAAATCACAAGGTAATATCTCCTCCTAAGAAATATGTTTTGGAGGTTAAGTTAAGTTCTCTGTTAGTCTCCTTTCGAATCAATACAAAAATGAGAAAATCATAACTTTTTTCCACCTTATAAGCATAGATTAACTAATTATGAAATGAAGTGTGGAGATAAAGACTGGATCTCTCTATTCCCGACTTCACTCTGAGTGTACAGTAGGTGAATTTCACAAAATTTCCTCTTTATTGTTTAATATAAACGATACTAAGATAGTACATCCAGTTCCCGTAATTTTAGATATCAAGTACAACTACTTTAATGGAACCAAATGTTAACATTCATGCTAAACAATAGAGGCATTTTAATAAAGACAAAAATATAAGCCTAAAACTGCGAATTACTTGCCTCTAATTCAGTGATTCCCAACCTTTACACCTTGAAGGAACCTCTGTAATAATTTTTCATATTCCAAGGAACCCCTATGTATAGTATAAGTAATACAGTGTATATTATGCATTGTACTGACTGATGCGTACGAGTATGTTTAGTGTCTGGAAAAAGTGTCTGTGACGTGTTTTTGAATAGGAATAATGAATTATGAAACGAGATTATTGTCAATTTTTAAAAACGTTATTTTACGATTTTTCGCGCAACTCCTGGTGACGGTCGGCTCTAATTCGTCACCTGGAACACGATAGGACAGAACACCATATATCATTACGTTAAAAAGTTCTACATTATCATAAGTATGAGATTTGTAACGACATGCTTACGTTTACTGACTTCTGCAACAACAGATAAATGCAAATGCAAAATGTAGACCTTTATAAGAGATATAGTACACGGATTGATAAGCATGTTATACAAAGCATTTGTTGTTATATTTACTTGTTTTATTGGTTCATTTATGTCCTTAGTCAAACTGGGAAATATAGAGAAAGTAGAAGACCTATTGTTCAGGTACATTTACGGCGCTGTGGCCTGAAAGATTCAGTAATACTTTAGCAGAATGAATGAACAACATAAAGTAATATTATAAGTTTATTGATTTTTTTTTTAACTGGTGAGGAAAAACTGAGCATTTATTACACACAACGATTATATATATATATATATATATATATATATATATATATATATATATATATATATATATATATGTATACATATACACATATATATACATATATATATGTGTGTGTGTGTGTGTGTGTGTGAAATACATACATACATACATACATACATACATACATACATACAAGCAAAAGTGCACCATTTACATAATGCGTGCTGTAACAATCAACCTGGTCATCAAAACCTGTGGCCCCCTAGAATCTACTTAAAATATACATATCTCCCCGACAGTCTGTGAATACTAAAAGTAATTAAAATTACGATATTATCAAGCTAAAAAAAAAACGTCGGGTAAATCAAACAAGTTTATTTGAATTGCCACTTCAGGTCCGAAATTAAATTCAATTTTACCTTCGAATTCTGGTGATGCAAAGGAGCGGAACACATGTAAGAGGGTAATGAAGGAGGAATGAGGGGAGAAGGAAGAAGGAAGAGGGGACAGAGGAGGTAACGACAAATGACTAAAAGCGCAGGCGAGCGGGGTTCTATGAGCCTATCAATTCAGCGCGAGAGGGAAGGCCGTCTAAAGAGAGAGAAAAAAGTCTGGGGATGCTGGTAGCGAGGAGGCTAGTCGCTGGAGGGAGAGAGAGGGGGGAGGGAGGAAGGAAGGGAGGGAGGGAGGGAGAGAGAGAAGAGAGAGAGAGGGAAGGAGGAAGAGAGGGAGAGAAGGAGGCAGGGAAAAAGGGAGGGAAGGAGGGAAGGAAGGAGGGAAGGAGGGAGAGACAGAGAGAAAGAGAGAGAGAGAGAGAGAGAGAGAGAGAGAGAGAGAGAGAGAGAGAGAGAGAGAGAGAGAGAGAGAGAGAGAGAGAGAAAATTAGCAGTTGATTGTTAAGGGAAGGCCTTAATCCATGTGTGTTATGTTGGGGGATGCGTTGTATATTGTCCAAAGTCAATATACCTGCGTCAGTCTAAAAGAGGATAGGCGATGGAAGAAGGTGAGACGACAAAAAAAATGTAGAGGGAGTGGCATTCATGACCAGTCACACACGACCGTTTGTTTTTTCTTATCCTCACTCCCTCACCTTCTCTCCTGCCATTTCAGGTTGACTAGGGGCCTAGCGATAGTCTTTCTTTCTCTCCCAGCCTTTTTGGTCTACCGAGGACTTCTTCCTTGCGGTGTAATCAAACCCTAAACACAATGGGTATA